AACCTCAAGGATGTGTTGTCACGGAATATAGGCTGTCTGACTCTTCCACCCACATCTCGCGGATTCGCTGGGGTAGGCTTGGGAGATACTTGGTTCTGCCTTCCACACCTGCCTTTATCAGGAACATACACATTTTCATGTGCTTTAGCGGAACAGCTGGTGGGTTTGAACGGTTGACTTCAAACTTAATAACCATACCAGGGTTCCTTGTAGGAGGCAATAGATAGTGTTTGTTTCCCAGGACTGTCTTCATAAAGTATCACAAACTGGATATCTTAAAACACTCGGGCTCCCACCTCTGGAAGGTACCATCTGGAAATCAAGGTGTCGCAGGACCATGTTCTCTCTGTAGGATCCACGAGAAGCCCTCCCCCGCCTCTCCTAGCTCCCGTTGGTCCCTAGAAATCTTGACATTCCTTAGCTTGCAGATGCCTCCCTCCAATCTCTGCCTCTGTAGATATATGTCTTCCCTCTGCCTCTGCGAATCTCCTCTCTATATAAGGTAAAACAGTTATATGGGGATTAGAGCCCCGCCTACTCTAGTGTGACCCCGTCTTAACTAATAACACCTTCAAAGAGCCTATTTCCCAATAAGGCAACATTCACAGGTAGGGGAGGGGGAGAAGGATTTTATATCTCTTGAGTGGGGTGGGGTGGGGGCCCATAATTCAACCCATACTAGGTACCAACTAATGGACTGTGGAATATTGCTCAAGGGTGAAGATCTGAGGACAGTCTCTGTCCAGCTAGGTTCATTAGCTCCGTGCCCATGGGCAAATAACACGACTCTGCTGATCTTCTCAGTAAGGGGCCCAAGAATGGTGATGTTCTTTGGACTGAACGAAGTGAGCATGTGAAATGTGTTTTGTAGCTTGATTCTATTCTGATAAAAATATATAGCTCCCAGTTCCCCTTAAATCCACACCAGGTCAGTGCAATAGAAGTAGAAGATTGGATAGCGCTCCCATCAATATTCCTGAAAGGAGACCGATAAAGGTGGTGGGACATCCTTTTGCTATCCCCTCTCCCTCTTCCAATTTGGAATAAGGGCACAATGGCCATCTTGGACTGTGAGGCAACTTTGAGAACAGAAGCTCTACACCACGGCTAGTGGAGGAGACAGGCAGGTAGCACCCAGGCCTCTGATGCCCCTGAGGCACCCCCAGCAGTCTTGAACCACCAACCACCACTTCTTTTACTTGAGAAAGAGTTGAATATGCCAGCATTCTGTTGAAGCCACTGATATAGATTAAAAAAAAGAAGAAGAAGAAAAAGAAACAGCCAAACCTTATGCCAATAAGAGGAAGGAGAAACTTGGAAGCAGTTAACTATAAGATCCTCCTACTTCCATTGAAGAGAAGACATGCCTCATCACGTTGAAAGACAGTAGGTATCATAAGCCTTCAGAAAACAAAAGATCGGGATACACTGAGAAGTGGGGAGGCGCGAGTTTAGGGCACGAGCCGGAGCTCGAGCCCTATCCCCTATCCTTTGGGGTGTTTGACACTTTCTCGTGAAGGCAGCTGACTCTAGCCACAGTGTTTTCAGTTGCCGCACAACGTGAAAGTTAGACACTGAATAAGGAAAACCGAAGAAGAATCAATGCATTTGAATTGTGGCGCTGGCGGAGATTATTGAACGTACCTCGGACTGCCCAAAGAACAAACAAATCTGTCTTGGAAGCAGTACAACCAGAGTGCTCCTTCGAGGCAAGGAGGATGAGATCTTGACTCATGTCCTCTAGCCCTGTCATCGGGAGAGACCCCAGTCCTTGGAGAAGGACATCATGCTTGGTAACATAGTGGGGCAGTGACACAGAGAAAGGCCCTCAACAAGATGGGTTGACCCAGGGGTGCATCCAGGGGCTCAAACGGAAGAAGAGTTGTGAGGACGGTCAGGACCAGGAGCCGGTGGTGTTCCGTCCTGTTGTCCATGGGGTCGCTGAGTCAAAGGCAACTCTGAGAGACTTAATGGCAACAACCACAACACAGAGGACGCTTAGTGGTGCAGCACGGTCCACCCAACTCCCTCTGACCCTTCCCGATCCTCAACCGCACTTGCCATGCACTCAGCCCTGACTCCACTCAAGACGACCCTCTGTGTTTCAGAGGAGAACAGCGCTAATGTTTGTGGCTGATTTTTTTTCCCCCTCCAAAGTAGACTGCCAGATCTTTATTCCAATGTGCCTTTGGGTGGACTTGAAATGCCAACCTTTCAGTTCATAGCACCACCCAGGGACTTCCAATTGTACTCTCTACTTTTCCCCCTTCCACTAGGGTGATAACTGGCAAGGTCAGCTTGGCCAGCGCCTGGTACCTGAGATGCTGGTATCAGAAAGAGTCAGTCCCATGATTTCTCAGGACTGTCAAGACAACCGGAACCAAACAGTAGGAGCCCCGCTGAGGAAGTGAGCAGGCCCTTGGCCCCAGCTAGGAGATTCTCACACCTGAGTTCATCACCTGGGTCAGGGGGACGGTTGTGCCCCAGGATCCGTCCCGATTCACAAGCTAACCCAGTCCATGAAGTGGAGGGCTCAAAGGGATGCTTGCATCCAAACCACGGAAGAGATTTCCTAGTCTCTGGGCTCTGAGCCCTCAAAACCTCCTTTAGCTGGCGCCCCTTGTGTACGAAGCTCTGAGATCTGAAGCTGCTTCTTACCCAGACTCCACCGGCTGCTGTCCTTCTCCGCTCTCCCGTATTGCCAGAAGGGAGACGCGTCTCCTGCTGCCGTTTCTGGTTCCAACAGGCGTTTGTGAACCTGGAAGGATGCCTCTCTCGGCTCTCAGAGCTGGCTGAATCACTCAGTTCTGAGCAGGCAGGAAGTTCTCCCTTAAGGGCAGCTGGTCACCTTGGGGTATGGGACGGGGAGACTGTACCTTTTCTCAGCTATAACTATATTGGCCTGGTTAAAAAAAATATTTTAAGGTGTATTCTTTTATTTCCAGATACTTCCTTGCTGTTTGTTCAGATGGGGTGAGTAGGGACCCTACTCAGTGTATTTTAGGCCGCAGTCCTGCGCGCAGACCCAGGGAATGAAAGTTCTCCCCAATTCACTTGTGTGCCCCAGGCAGAGAAGGCAGATGGCTATCTACCGTGGGCAAACTTTTGCCTATGCACCAAACCAAAGAAATCAAACTCTCTGACATTGAGTCGAAGCGGCCTCCTAGCACAAAGGTCTTCTTCCCCCTGCCCTTCAGGGAAGGGCACGAACAGGTGCTCTGACCACCTGCTGAGACTGCACCAGGGGCACCTCCTTCGCTCCCCTGAGGCTCAACGCTGGAGTGCAGGAGACTGTGGCCCAAACCTCGCAGCCTTGACTTAAGTCCAGAAAGCCTCTGGCGAGGGAGGTAAGACAACGTCAGCTCAGAAGCTGGGTAGCTGAAACTAAGCCGCCTCCCTGACCCCCCAAGGCTACAGACTCCGGCCTGAAAAGGAGGACCCAGTCTTGCTTCACCCAGCCTGGGCCCAGCAATCACTTTCTTATCTGCGGTTAAGAGGTGTGGGGTGTGGCGTGTGGGCGGTGTCCAGAGCTGGGCTGGGCAGCCCTTACCAACAGCCTTGCAGGACCCTGGCCCCAGGGCGCCCACTATGGGTAGGGGATGGGCCATGCAGTCTGTGCCCCACCAGGAAAAGGCGCCGCGGGAGGAGCCGCCTTCATTCTCCGCTGGTTGGGCCAGCGCTGTCTGGGCACAGCGGTGGCAGGGACACCAGCGGGCAGCTTCCATCTCAACGACCATCTGAGGGCCCTCTCTGTTCCGTGACCACTGCATCCATCTTCTGAAGCCCTCACCAACCTTCTCAGATGTCCTTCCTTCTCCCCCTTGGAGACAAACCTGCGCTAGAGAAGGCCACTTGAGTGACGTCATTGCTGCCTTGATTTTATTCTAGAAGGGTCCCAGTCCTTTTGAGAATTAGCTCCCCGAACCCTGCGAAATTAGGTTTTATGCCGCCTTTTGTCAAGAAACTTAAGCACACAGAGTTTAGCCACTAATCGGCCAGACTTATTTAAAAGGCACAAGTAAAACCTTCCATTTTTAACACCTACTCTGGTGTTTGCTGGAAATGTGCCACCGAATTTAGGCTGGAGTTGAAGGTTATCAGGATTTGTGATTACTTCCCCTCGGGTGTTTAACCCTCACGGGCTCCTCTTCTTTGACTTAAGATACTTACAAAAAAAAATCTTGCAAATGGTTGGTTCATTTTGTTTAACAAATTTGTTTTATCTTTGTATGACTTGGAGATCCAGAAATATTTCTGGGTTGGGGAGGGGAGAGCGTTGAAGACAGAAGCAGCTGTGTACCAGGAAATTATAAGCATCATGCAAAATATCACAGCTAATAGATGTCCTTTATGAGTGGAAATATCTACGTTTAATTGCGTTTAAAAATATGGGGTGGAAAAACACAATTATACATTGTGATAACACACCTTTACAGATAATTTCTGTACAATACAAAACAAGTGCTGAATTTTTTTTCTTTATGATTGAAATAATTGTTGCAAAATTATGACACCACCTACCCAAATATTATGTTGCCCCATCTGCAAATACTTGAAGAGGAATAGTTACCAATTGGATGCATTTAGATTGGTCCTTGATAAAGAGAAAATTGCATAGCATTTTATATTGTTGCACCAACCTCAAATGCACCTTCCACTATCATTGTCAGCCTAGTGACACTCTTGATATTTTAGAAATTTCAGTCCTTCAGAGATACATAATATATAATTCCTAATAATTATAAACACATCATTTTATTCATCTGATTTTCATAACATGCAATTTTATAATTACTATACAACCAAAATAGACATTGAAATCTGCTATGTGCATGTCTTTATCCAACAGTATATTTTTAGACATGCTGTTCCAACAAATTCAGTGAATTAAAAAACAAAATAAAACAAGGTGGGGGTGAGGGGTGGGGGCAGGAGCGGAATATCCTTCCAGTAGAAACAGAATCACAGTGTTTTACAGACAAAAAGGAAAGGAACAGAAGTTCTCATACGAAAAAGATTTATTATTACATAAAAAAATTCTCACAATAGTTGTAACGCACTTCAGAAACTAGGAAACACCTTAGATCGAGTTGTGCCAATTACTCAGCCCACAAGCATCTGCCTTGTCTTAATTAGACGGGGGCAGGGGGGGGGGAGAGGTGAATGACCACTGTTTATTTTCATTTTCCTCATTAATTATGAAAAACTGCATTTAATTCATCTTGCATGGTGAGAGATTGGCTGCGCAGATGTAAGTCGTAAGGGAAGTGGCTGTCGGTCGGCAACCTGAACATGGCGCCCTGCCCAAGGGGACCCCTGGGCGGCACTGCACAGTAATGCATGCCGTAATTGTAATTTTTGCCATAGTCCAAGGTTTCTTCTTGCTTCAGGGAAAATATCCCATTATAGTTAATTGGGGGAGGACTTAAGGGACCTTCAAACTGAGGGCTGGCACACTCGGGGGAAGTGCTCTCATAGAAGGATTCATACGCACTGCAATAATTGTAGGGCTTCATGGACTTGGAATTATCAAGAGTTCCGTGCCCTGGCGGGGTGGCGAGCTCGGGGCTGTGGTAGGGTGGGTAGAAAGTAGAGTAGGGCGACCTGGGGTGGTGCGCAGCCTCCCCACCCTGACCCATCAGGAAGCTCCTGGCGTTGAGCTGCAAGCAGCCTGCCACCAAGTTTGTCGTTGGCTGGGAAAGACCTTTGCATAAGTTTTGGACAAACGTGAGCAGATCGGGTCTCTTGCCGATTCTCAGGATCTCAGAAAGTGCCCAGATGTAGTTTTTGGCTAGGCGTAACGTTTCTATTTTGGAGAGTTTTTGCGTTTTGGAGTAACAGGGGACCACTTTGCGCAGATTGTCCAGAGCGTCGTTGAGGCCGTGCATCCGGTTCCTCTCGCGCGCGTTCGCTTCCTGCCTCCGGAACTTGACTCTCTCCAGCCGGAGCTTGGTGGTCTTTTTTTTCCTCAGACCCCTTCTCCGGGGCAACCCGTTTTCATCTTCTTCTTCTCTATCTTCCTCCTCCTCTTCTTTCTCAGTTTCCTCTCCGGGGGCCCTTTTGATGTTCTTTCCTCGAAGGACAATCTGTTTGGAAAAGCTCTCTGGTTTCTTAATTTGCTTCGGGTCCTCACATTCTCTCGAAAACTTTCTGCACATCTGCGAGTCTGGCATTGCCACGGACTCATCAAACGGTAGCGTTAACATGGTCTCTAAGCTTAAATTACCTGAAAAAATGCCAGCACAACATTGAAAGCGTTTTCATTTGGAAAGTTTATACATTTAAAACAGACTTAATGACATAATCATAAGAATTCAAAAGCACATGATAAAGATTGATTGCGGGGCTAATTTTTATACTGTAAATATAATTTGGGTGTGTGCAGACTAGCAATTACCAACACATTGATACATGCACCAGGATTAATTTATACAGGCACATGATCAAAAGAAAATAAAACCCGAAGCATTTGCTCTAATAGCCCCACCGTCTCTATTTCTCTTTGATTTTTAAACTGGCTCTTAAAATACAGAAAGGACCACGGAGTCCAAGCAAATGCAAAGCATGATATAGCAATGCAGAATTTCATTAATTCCAATTCCCCCGAGCACAAAATGAGGAGAGAAACCAGTTTTTAAAATGAAAAGTGCTCTCTCTCTATTAGCTGACAAATTAGTGTTTTGTTTGGGGGTTCTATTTTGCTTCAGAAAAAAAACCCTTAACTTCATTTGCAGTCTCACACAACTGTGAATTTAGATAAGTGACAATGGGGATATACACGTTAAAAAACAAACAAAAGAAAACACATTAATCAGAGCCCGTTTTAAAACGGATTCATGTCTAATGAGTAACGAGTTATGTAAAAGAGCACGTTTTTCCCAGCCTTGAAAAAGAAAAGGGGATTAAGTTCACTTGAAATCAACTCCATAAATAAATTTTTAAAAAATTAAAAATCACTGGCAGGTTTTCATTATTCCTTTTTTTTTTCAATTTCAAGAAAATGTTGAGACTGCTTTTGCATTTAAAATTCTCTGAATGTCAATTGTCTGTTTACTGCTTTTCAAATCACTCTGAACAAAAACCACTCTCCGAGCGTTTTTGTTCTACGAGCCACAGAAGTCTCCCTCTAGCTAATATCTGACGGGAACGGTCCAAGGATTCTGACTGCAGTTGTGCACGTGTGTTCAGAATCCCGAATGAAAGGGGAAAATAATTTGTGTTTCAAAGGCATTTTCTAAATTTTGGTTTTCATTTGGTGAAACAGCAAGTATTTTCCTTTAAAGTCTTCCAACAAACAGGCACAGCAAAACAGAGACTTTTCAATTTAACAATCTCCAGTCCCCCCTCTCCCTGCACACACACACACACACACACACACACACACACACGTCTTAGTAACGTCCACATACTTTCAGTGTTACATAATAGCAATGAAAGTATGTGATAATTGTTGCACCCTAAGAATGACAGAGGATGAGAAGTTAGAGATGGCAGAGCACATATCAATACTACAAGACAGTGACACTGTATCTTTAAATACTTGCATGCAAAGCCAGCATCAATTGAAGTATATCTTTATTTATATTACCTTAGGTTTTAATTTCATTCAATAATCAGTTCTCATTTTGGGTCTTCCAAATCTTTTCAGGCTGTGTGTCGCATCGTCTCCTGGAGTCTCTAGATCTGTGTATATCTGCACTATCTCATTGATCTCTAAAAAGTGACATTGATGCCAACTGCCAGAGCTGGTACCCATGCCATCTGCTAGTGACGTCACAGGGCAGAGAGAACCATGTGATCCTCTCTCTTGGGACCTTCATTCTGCACTGATCATCTGGCATCCCTGTAAGTGGGTACCAGCATTCATGTATCAACACAGAAGGTTAGGCTGATAGGGAAAAATCTGTACCAGCATTTCCCCTACAGTCGTGCCGTTCTCCTGGAGCTGCTCGGCTTCACTGGCACGCTGTGGAAAGAGCTGTGCTAGTGCTCAGGTGCGCCCTGCCAACGGTGCCACTATTAGGTAGTGGTTAATATTCCGTTCATTTACAAGGTGGGCTTTTGTGTGGGAGCCAGAGCTTTTTGTTGTTGTTGTTGTTGTTGTTGTTGTTGCTGTGGATATTATCTTGTAAAGTTCACCATCCCATTCCTGCACCTGGGTACCCAGGCAAAGAAGCTGGAATCAGGAGACTGGTCTACAAGATGCTTAACCAAACTAAAATCCCCGTAAGCAAACAGAGGTCAGCAAAGGTCTCCTTCTGCCCTTATTTTTGTTTCATGGCATGTAACTTATGAGTGTGTGTCTGTGTGTTCTCTTATTAACAGAGAAGACTTCTGCGCTTCTTAGGCATTTAGAATAAAGGCACGGTTTCTCCATCTGGGCTCTGTGGAAGGCAGTCTCAGATGTTCGCCTGTCTACACTGGCTCACTCGCTTGTGTCTGTTCGCAACTTTCCCCAGGTATCCTTAAATAAATACTTGTATGTTTATGTAATGTATACAGTGATAAATGTTACATACGTGTATCTACCTTGCTATAAGGTACAGAGATGCTAGGAGTCCCTTGTGTCCTCTATCCAAAGTCACTAACTTCCCACATTTATCGTCCCCTCTCTCTTACCAAACATTGGCTTGTTTGTGCCTTCTCATTTCATTTCAGACACAATCAACATAAAAAATCATCACCGAGGACTCTCTCTCTCTGGCATTCTGCTGAGTTATTTAATCAAAGATTAGCTTGCTTGTTTTTCTGTTTGTTTGCTTGGTTTTGGCTGTTTCTTTTCAAGCTTTCAGATTTTTTTTCCTCTTAAAAATCTTCTTGATTTTGTTTGTTTGTTTGTTTCATCTCTTGACCAACATCACTTTATCTATTTTCTGTTTCTTCTATCCTTGCTCAATGGCTTTTGCCTGTCAGGGTTATTTCTTATTTATCTTTCTTACTCCCACTCCTCCCCACTTTCCTTCCACGGTGTGGAAACAGGGAAGCAAACGGGCCAAGCCTTGCAAGTAAGAGAAACTCGGCAGGCAGGGACACACTCCACCGTCTTCTTCTTTCCGGGGCTCCCCTGAGATGCCTTCTCTGCCACACCCCCAAGAAAGGGACATTTTATTTCACGGGTGCCTGTCAGGTAAGTGAAAAATGGACCTTAAAAAAAAAAAGTTTCAAAATAAAGACAAACACAACCTGTCTGACAACTGTGAAATCTCACTGAAGTGAGTGAGTCTGCTTTGGGTATTGAAGTCGTCCCTGGCAAAGCATTTCCCCTCATAAAGCACATTTTTTAAAAAAAGGTTAGAATTCTGCTGCCTTTTAAAGCACTTCAGGGCCTTAAATTGGCATCGGGGTCTTCAGAGGAAATTAAACGTTGCTCATCTTTCCCCTCCCCGCAGAAAGTGACTGGTCTCCGCCTGGCCAGTTCACGATGAGAAATCGGAGGTTGGCGAGCAGAACCATGTTAGGTCAAACAGGGCAGCTGTTGTCAAAGTACAGATTTAAAATAAAACAAGCTACACCATCCATACGGGGAAATGGCTTATGGTTTGTTTGTTTGTTTTCAATTTTGAAATACCAACGCCATTGTAGAGTGGGCTGCCTAGAGAGCGGATCACTGGTAATGAGCCCCTGGAGAATGTTCCAGGGAGGCTTGGGTTCAAAACCACACAAGCTTTGTAGGAACATGGAGCAGTTCTCCAGCGAGGCCAGGTGCAGAATTGTGTTTGTTCCCAGGCATGGTTTACTTTTTCAATGCAAAGGAGAAGCATCAGACTGAAGAAGCACACAGCAGCCAGCCCTCCGTCGGTTCTGCACCATGCACCAGAGAGTGGCCTGGCAGAGTCTTCGTGAGCTTCCCTGTAGGACAGGGCATTACAAACTGGAACTCCGAGTCCAGAAGAGCTGACAGGAGGTGCTAGTAGGAAATGAG